TTTCAATAGCTTCAAACCAAGAATATCTCTCGAAAATGTCAGCGAGAGAATGAAATTCCTGATTTAAGTGAGAACATAAACTCTCGCCCAGATAAGAATGGAGTAGTCGGAAGTTTTGAATTCCAATGTTAGTTAGGGTTAGTTAGGACAAATATCCGGAATAAAAACAATTCGAATTTGCACAATAAATTCAGAGATATTTAAGATAGCAAGTCGATACGTCACTAATATTTGACAATTATCGCTTTGACTTGCCGTTCTTTAATACACGCCGACAAAGAAATGTTGTGAACATTTATCTTGTGCCATTTACTGAGTCATTATTGATACAATGGACTTATGATTTAATGTATCTACAATGTATCATGCAGCCAGATAAGCCCCAAACTAATTTTATATCATATTAAGAATAAAGTACAATATAATAGATTTAACTGAGAGAATCATAGCCAATTTTTCGCTATGTAGGATTTTAATTGCTAAATTTCTATATGAAATAAATTCAAACAATTATAATTATTTGCGCTATAATAGATTTAAAATTAAGAATCAAAGAGATTTTATATTTTGAAAGAAATTAATGTAACAAAGGACACGCGCATACTTCAAATAGCTTTTTGATATTCAACTACATCTTTTAATGTTAGCAAAATTTGCGAATAAAAAGATTTCTTTTATACTTATTCACAAATTTGTTTCGCTGAAAATTAAGATTAATGATTCTGTAATACTGTGATTTTGTAATACTCTATGCATACGCGAAAGAATATCAAACTTTTCTAAAAATATTTCAAGAAGCTAATAATCTAAAGTGAACGCAGTAACGAGTAAAAGTAACAAACTTTATCTTGGTACGTATCAATGGGATATCATTGCGAATAAAACGTACTGACAACTTTTATCAATGTGTAAACCGAGAAAAAGATCGTCAGACAAACGTTATCACTAACCGGATCTACCGCTTCTTTGAAAGATAACTGGACGTTAACGAACTATTAATAAACTCAAAATGCATTCTGACAGATATGTCTGCTGTATCGCATTTTGATGGTTAGCATTATTCACTTGATTATAGCTATCCAGTCTTGCAGTCTTATTGCTGCCGCTGGACTATGACGTCAAAAGCGAGGAATTATATGAACATTTTTCCGTATTACAGATGCGAAACATTCCTTCGTATATCGCTGATTGTGCAATAAATTCGTGGAATGTGCCGAAGATTCTCCTTTTGACTCGTGTGCGTGTATTAACACAATCATAAATCTTGATTAACTGTGATAAGATTTATTTTTGCTGGAAATGTAGGACACATACAAGTTGAATTATACGTTCATTAAAGAAGGACAAGAGAAGAATGCTCTCAGCGTATTTTGCTAATTTATACTGTCAAAGGCAGACATAAATGCAAAAGATGATAAGCAAAAAGAAATTAATTTACTTTCATATGTGATACGAGAGAGAAAAACTCAGACGGTTTATTATCTTTCGCTTCTGATGTCAACATCCAATATGGCTGCAGTAAAAGACTATAGGTTCTTAATTATTATATTTCTAATAATTATTATTAATTTCTGTCGTGTTATGTATGCACATTATTTTGTCTCAAAAAAATTCTATTATTATTCAGTTTAGACAAAAACTTGTTTGGACACTTTTGTGAAAACAACCATGCTGATTACGTCGATATTCACCGATTTATTATTTGACTCTTTTTTTCAACCTCTTTCGCTTCGCTGACGATTACAACTACGAGCACAAAGGATTTGTGCTTTGGAAGCCCCTCGTGTTGCGAAGAATACGTGTAACGCTAGACTGGAAAAGGCTTCAACGGTGCATCGGTGCATTCGTTCGTCCGATGTATCCAACGACAAGATCGAAGCTCATACACAGAGCCGTTATTAAATTGTTTCGCATTGGCGGCAGTGACTTTCGCATCGCTATCGTTTTGTCGCAAGCTGACGCATTACTTATGTACAATGTGAAACTTCGAATCTATTTCTGAGGCTGAATTTATCGAACGGCTTTGACCCTCTTCATGCTTGGCAATGTTATCGGCCGCTGTAAAGTTATTAGACGTAGGGTCGTTAAACGCACACCTTCCGTAACTTTGCAACTTCATGTGCTTTGATGCGTTCTTAATGTGCGGCATGTTCCCGCTCTAATTCAACAACTTCCGAACGATGTCAATCTGCTCAAATTGATACGACTGGTGTTAAATGATGACGTTAACACATGATAATGTGATTAGTTGACACTAAGCACAATAAGAGATGATTGTTTAATCGCGTTTTCGACAGTTTCTACTTTCATTAAAGTTAAAACTTAAATCCGCATCATCTCCAAATCCCCTGTCTAAAGATATCTCGGATATCGAATTTGGGACAGCGATAAGGTTACAGTATTCGCAAATCCATCGATCGCTGATCACCGTTGAGATCCACGGATGAAACTACGGTCATACCAGCGGTAAAAGCGAGCGTTCGATTCGCGCGAGTGTGGACTATCGATTGATCGGTCAGCCGTGTGCACGAGGCTGTTTATAGTTAGATAAGAGAGTTGACGTAGCAGGTATTACGTAAATAGTGAATTATCCCGTATAGAGTTACCCGTATAACTCGCTCATTCTTAATACAGTTGCATACACGTGACCATTGAGAATTCGTACATTTATCAATTTTCTCGTAGCTGGGATCGAAGTCAGATCTTCTTTCTTAAACCGTGAAATTTGACGTGACTCACGTTATCGTAGATATACGATTGTCAAATCAAATGGTCGTTAAATTTTTATCTTCAAACCGCCGCTATTCTCTCATTCCGATATGTAAAGATTGTGTTTCGATCTCGGATTGATCTCCAACCGATTTCGTATGCATTTACACGAGACAATATACGTGTATATCTCCCTCCTCCATTTCTACCACAAGTATAGACATTTCCCTGCTGAGGCATAGAACATTTCAAGCCATAGAACATTTTATGTTCACAAAAGTTGACATTTGTGTGCCAATTTTTCTTTTCAAATTCGAGTTTCGAATTATCATTAGACTTCGGATAAATGACGCTTTTTATGTTTACCGCGTCCTGTTTGTATTTTATTATATCACTTTGCTTTTATTGCTTCGGTCGTTGATGATCGGAGAAATTCAAATCTTGTTCAAGCTATCGCTAGACTTCAAATGAACGTCGATAATGCGTGGATGTCGATATCCAACTCAGTTTCTCGAGATCAGTTTGGCTTCTTAAAGGGGTGAGGAGCAAACGTCTCATAATATCTTCGTCATTTTACCGCTCCGAGATATAAATACGAGAGATGGTTTTTTTATATCGATCTGGATTGGAACTCCCCTTACTACGTGCCGCGAGCAGGTGTGAATTATTCTGTTAATGATTATTGCATCGAGGTCGACGATCCTATCCCTTAATGGGTTTGCAGGACACTTAAGATCTTCTTGAGGCCAGACGGCGCCAGTCTCCCGGCTCCTTGCCATTACCGACAACGTATATCTTACGAAGTGTGCGCATGCATAACGCCAAACAGTTCGATCATCGATGAGCAAAACGACAAAACCAATAAAAGCAAAGAAAAACATAATAAAATATTAAAAATAAAGAAAAACATGATAAAAATCTAGTTCGCAACAGAGAGATATTATTTAATAACTGTTATGTAAACTTTTAATATACTTTTATAATATAATATAATAGAAACTTAGACAGAAATATTAAAAATTTACTTTATATTATAAAATTTGTATCAAAGCGTTATTGAAACGTAGTATAAGGTGTACGTAGATCTTTGATTAACTTTGATTAACTTAATCGACGATTTATGTAACTGATAGAACTATTCACAAAATGTCAAACAATATCACCTCTAATTTAATGTCTTGCTATGACAAATAACAAAAAAATTCTTAAAATTAAAAATTCTATTTGACAAAATATTGCAGGACTTGATAAATTAATCACTCGCAGTTAAGCTAATGATAGTTTAAGTGAAATGATCATATATCAGATAATTATATCTCTTGATATTGAGTTATATCTTCATGGACAAATTACAAATATTACAATTGTGTATCTTTTTTTTATTTGATAATTTTATTTGATAACAGAGCATTTAGAAATAATATTTCATCGCATGAAAAATTTCATTAAAGTGTAACATGTAATTATAAATTGCAAAGTCCATCGAGTAACAATTTAAAATTTTGTTACATCCTTATTTTATGCATTTGCGAAAGATATGAATATTTCATCGCAAAATGAGCCTTTCAGAAGCTAAATTGATCGTTATGCTTTCTATAAATTTCTTACTATTAGT